TGGTTTCCTTGGCTTTCCACCTCATGTCCACGTCGCGCATAAAATAACGGTCGAAGAAGGCACAGCGCGACGCTGAGAGGGCTAAAAAACACGTGAGTCGATCTCATCCCCGCTCTTACTTCACGCGAGGATGTAAAACGCGGCGCCGAGCCGAAGGCTGTTGATGTCATGGTAAAGGTACCGACGTGCAGATGCGGCCGCTTGGCAGCGCCCAGACGTCATCAAAAGGCGGCCGCAGCGGGCCAAAAAAAGGAGAGCAGGCTGAGATCAGCGCTGCCTCGAAGAGTCGATGTGAACTTCATAGAACTTGCCAATTGCGCACCCGGTCAGTGAATGGAGCAGAATGGCCGATGTATGCTCAGAGCAGCTCGCAGTTGAGGCTCGAGTGGCGGCGGAGCGACTTGGAGTGGTGGCGAGTGGAGGCCCCATGCGAGCGCGTGGAGCGGAGGCGGCGGGCGGAGGGAGCGGAGCGGGTGGACGACGACGCGCAGCTGTAGAAGGAAAGGTCCTCCTCCCACGTGCTGCGGCGCGATGCGCCCAGGTCCAAGGATCGGCGCGACGAGCAGCGGGAAAGCGTCGCGCTGTCGCTGGTCTCGTCGTCGTCGTCGGTGTTAGTGAGCGAGGACTCGAGCATCTGAATGAAGGACTGGCAGTGAAGCGCGCTGAGCTCGCGCTGCGTATCTAGCAGCTGCAGCTTGCTCTCGAGCGCGCGGATCTCGACGTCTTCCAGCGTGCTCCGGATCACTCGGGAGGCGGCCCGGCAGCTAAGGTCGTGGGTTGTGGAGAGGAGAGTAGCAGAGGACGCCATTGTTGGTTTGACAAGGTTCAGAGGAAGTCTTGATTCACGTTAATACGTTGATGGACTAGAAAGTGGTGTTTGTGAGGGCTTTGGAGTGGAATGCTCTTTGGAGTTCTGCTGAATGGATAACGAAGGTTGTGTGTCTTATCTAGAATATGAAGGGGCAAGAACCTAGAGGGCGTGGCGCGACGGGGCAGCCAATCCAAGGCGCGAGGCACGAGGGGAGGGGCTTCTGTTGGAAGGCGAGGAGACGCGCGAAACAGAGGGCAGCAAGGTGGCTGGGATTGCGTTGGCACCAGCGGGGCATTGTGTGGCTTGCATTCTGCGGTCAATCTGCTCCAAGTCAGCTTCTTCCAGTCAGGCTTCTGTTTCTCCTTGCTTCTGATTTCTCAAAACTGTGCTGACTCGGCGACATTTTGTCTCATCAGGCCAGATGCTTCGACCGGTTTGATTGCCCTTGGGCTTGGCTCTCCCACACATGCACCATGGGCGTTGTTTTCTGTTGGGATTCACGAATCATGAAGTGCGCCAGGTTCACGATCCCGTTAGAGGAGACGATCGCATTCATGCCGCCAGCTGTGTTTACATTTATGCACGTTTAGTAGTGTGGTTCGACTTTAAATGCTCTCAACAACAATCGAGCGCGAAGTGTTCGTATTGGTCACCATTTGGCGGGAAAGAGGAAGACGAACGACACTAATCATAGCATGAATGTGAGGCTGCAAAAAGTCAAAAGAAATATCCAAGGATGCAAAACGCTTGTTTCACTGCAGCCCGTAACACTTAAAAGAGTATAGATAGCTACTGTTCTAAAATCTCCCTCACAATGGAAACCTAGGCTCAACAATTTTTGGCAAACCTGGGCAAACTTAATCATGTGCACAGCTACTTCCGACTTCCGGGCTCAAACACAGAATTCGTAAAATTCTCGAATCAAGCAACCACTGAACGTCCGCCACGGAAGTTCACGAGATTTTCCACCCACAAATTCCTCCCAGCCCCAAGGTGCCAGTGGAGGAACCAACCAAACCAGGCAAGGAGCTCGTAGGCGCACTCGATTGCGATCTTATAAGTCATGCTCCCCCTCCTACCCTCATGCTAACTTGCAGCACGTGAAGAGCTAACTAGGTCACATGTCACCTCACCATAGCCAGAATCCCCTTGTTAGGAGCCGCCGAATCTCTCGCAGCTTCTTACATCTGTTCCCCGTAGACGCTTGAGGCGACCTGCAGTTTATGCTCCAACACACTAAGGCATTCTTCGTTCTGAACCAGTCAGCACCACCAGCACTTCGACGGAATCACCTGGATTGTCTGGATGACTCTGACCTGACATGGCCTGACTCGGCAAGAAAGGATTGAGCTTCTAAAATCTACAAATTCGCCGCGTCTAGAAACAACTGTACGCTTGTCACAGCCCGCGATAGGCGCCGATGCTCGTTCGTGGTGGTCAATCCTTCCAAGATGCGACGACAGCCTTGGGAATGGGGGGCGACCGGCAGACATGTGCGAGGTAGGCGATGAGCAAGGGGGGCTTACATCACCCTGACGCGAGCGTCACCGAAGCCTACCTCGGCGTATCTCGAGGTTGCGCGAGGTTGCGTGAGGTTGTGCGCACATCGGCTTATGCGGTAGCTATGCCTGTCATCATGTTTCCATGCTGCGCCCCGATTATACCGCAACTGTGTTACAAGCGTCACCAATGGACGAATCTGTGCGTCTGGTAAGCGGTTCTCGCGGAACCCTGCAAAAAACATCGAGCAGGAGTTTCAACGACCCTTGTGCGTTCTCTGCGTTTTCTGAACCAAAAGACGGAGTCTTACTCTTCTGCTCTGTGTTTCATAACCAGAAAAACACGAGTCTCAGCTTCTTTTGCCGCGCTCGTCGAGTTTCGGCAGTGATTTCGATTTTGCGCAGCGTGAGGTGACAGCTCATGTGTGTTTGCGTGTTTACCAGAAAACAGGAGTCTCAGCATGAAATCTACTGAAGTCAAGCCCGCTAAACGAATTCCAGAATGTAGTTTTAAACTATGCAGATATGTAATGAGTAGAAGAATGCATGGGGAACACGTTTGGAACTACAAGAGTGGAAACTATGATAAGGGAAGAACGCATTGCTTCTGATGGTTAATGACACTGCCTTTCACATCAGGACGCAACTCTGTAGGACAGATCATACTAAATTGAATAATCGTAGTATCTGGAAAAAGCGGCTTATGAAAACCCAAATTGACTTAATTTGCTGGCACCGCTAGGGAACTGAAAGCTTGTACGTTGGTGTAATCTCTTGCTTGAAATTCGAGGCCGAGGTACATTGAACTTATCGAGATGAGGGCTGGGCGACGTGTTACATGAGCGAAGCGTGCGATGTGTGTGAGATAATTCGCACGGGGAAGATGCTGGCGAAGTCCACCGGCGACGAGGAAGAGGGTTGTCGTAAAACCGAAGGTCTTCCGCCCATCGCGCGGACTGGCAGCGCCCAACAGCAACGCCAGGTGAGGCAGTTTCAGACTCCAAACCGCCATCAGGACGATTTTCCCCTGGCATTGCAGCACTTTCCATCCACCGGGCCGACCGGCTTCGCACTGACGGGGTTACAATGCAGTGCCCGCTCTCACCGCGGCAGTCTAACGACTCGCAGAGCGGCTTAGCGAACGCGAATCGGACGCTATGGTTTCTGACGGGGAAGGACGAAGATGATGACGTGGCACCGGAGTGGAGACTTCGCGAGGACGAGAGCGACGCCAAGGCTCGTCGATTGGCGCGCTCGAACTCGTCGTCTGAATTGCCCTCAGTCGATGAGCAGGTGCTATCTGATTCCCAATTACTCTCCATCGCGGAGCACGAAGCGCCGTTCAACGCGTTCTTGGAGCAATTATCGACGCGCGGGGATGGACGCTCGGCGACGCCCCGTCTCCTCTCCGTGACGGTTGCGCTGCAGTTGAAAGCAGAAACATCGGCGGATGAGGTTTGCGCGTTGGCCGCAGCAGCCTCCTCGAACGAGTCGCGCAGCGAGCGTATGAACTGCTGGCATCGCATGGCGGTGAGCTCGCGTTGCGTGTTGAGAAGCTCTAAGCGACACTCAAGCGCGTGCACCTCGACGTCCTCAACGCGGCTGCGAACGCGGGGAACTGTGAAATTCGACGGTTTATGAGACGCATCGCACTGAGTGCGATTGTCGCCTTCTAGGTTAACTAAAGCGTCGGAAGGGACCTTTCCTTTCTGAATGAGTCCTACGGTAGCCATGGCACGGCTGCGGTTTTCGCCGAGACGACGATCGTTTTGCAAGGTTGGAAATCTCGAGTATCGCAGTATGTAGACGCAAGCCTCTGCTGAAAGGCATAGAGCTACGACGCTGGGATATAAACCAGGAATTCGAGAATAAACACGCGCCAAGATGGGCTGTCAAGAAAAGTAAGCGCGTGCCATATCTTAAACCAAGAGCCTCCATGCGTCCCGCCATCGTAAACAAAGAGCAAGCTTGACGTCCTACCAGAATGAACAGCAGCTATGTGTGCGTATTCCTTGGTGGTGATGCTTTGTGAAGCAAAAAACATTTCACATCCCCCCTATCCCCTCCTTGAGGAGGCAAGAGGGGAGCAGCAAGCGCGTATTCAACTGCTCCGATCACATTCGACAGCAGCCTGTCAAACGACCCCTCCTCATGCCTTGCCACATCAGATTCGGTACGTTTACCCGCAACATCGCCCACTGCTCGCACGCACCGCATCTGGCCGGACCGCTTTGAATGTCCACTATTCATCACATGACGCCGCCCTTCTGGCAATTCATGCTGACGGGACAAGGTTTGGGCCAGCAATGCGATTTGAAGCCATTTTACTGGCCGAGCTAGTTGGATGCGCACCGCACGACTCTGTTTGACCAATTTGCGGTATGGGCGCCCCAATATCGATAGTATCCATCTCGAGTACTGAACACCGTATCAAAGCACAGCTACATGGAAAACAGTGGCTGACATGAAACTGGCTAGGCTAGGCTAGTGATTCAACATCACCACCACCACCATCGATTTGGTAACAGCAATGAGTGATATTTTCACTGGACAAGAAGCTCTTTGCTTCTACATGCTAAACTAGGAACTTCGCAAAATTCCCCCACCACCACCTTCTCAAAATTCTGCCTGCCATCTCCCACCACCTTATCTTCCCTCGTCCGCTTCAATTGCCGATGCAGCGCCGCCACTCACGCCGGCGCTGCAGAGGAATCCAAGATGTCCCACACGCCAGTGAGGTCATACTTGCTGGGCGCTGCTGCAGCCGGCACGCCACCCAGCCCTGCTGCTACAGCCGCCGCTGCCGCCCCTGCGGCCTCGGGGAATGCGTCCCAAATGCGGATGGCGCCCGTGTGGGAGCCGCTGCACATGCGGCCATAGTCCAGATCCACTGCCACGTGTCGCACCTTTTGGGGGAAAGGCAGGGGAGGGGGGAGAAGAGGGGGGCATGGGTGGGTGTGGGAGCCGCTGCGCACGCGGCCATAGTCCAGATCCACTGCCACGTGCCGCACCTTTGGAAAGAAAGGCAGGAGGGGAGGGTGGGGGGAGAAAGTGGGGAGGCAGGTGGGGAGAAGGACAGGTAGGAGAATCAAGGGAAATGGCAAGGGAGTTGGAGGGAGTGGTGGGCACAGGCTGTGTGGCAGTGACAGAAAATTTGGCATGAGCAGGGGTGAGTGTACGAGTGATAAATCGCAACAGAGAATTGTACAAGGGAGGAGCATCTTGGCTCACCACATCGGGCATGTTGGCAACCATCTTGCTGACGGCCCACGTGGACGGGTCACCGCCGCCACTGCCGGTGCCACCAACGCGGCCATCAGCGTCGGTGAATTCGAGGAACATGAGCTGGTTGCTGGCGGTGGCCACGCCTGTCACCTCGTCCATCAGCCGCACCGCCACCACTGCTTCTGATGATGACGACCCACTCGTCTCCTGCGGTATGTACTGGTCTGTTGCGGGGGGGACCGGGGGAAGGAGACGAGGAAGGAGGTCAGTGTGGGTAATGGGAGAGTGGGAGATGGGAGTTGAGTATGCCACCACCGCCTCCAATGACGATGACCCACTCGTCTCCTGCGGAATGTACTGGTCTGTTGGTGGCGTGGGGTGTGAAGAGGGTGGCGGAGCAAGGGAGGGGAATGAGGATCATGCGCTGTGCCGGTATGGCTTCTTGCAGGATCTCCGACTTGGGCCGCGACACAACCGGCCCAAATCCAAGTGGCAGCGCGCCAATGATAACTGACCTATCTGCCTTGTTGGGACTGTTAGCACGGAAGACGCCACTGAGTCGCTCTCCTTGAATCCAAGGCGTAGCGTGCTTTGAGACGTCTCAAAACACGGCGTAGCACACACTCACTCACCGTCCTCCTTCTTCCAGATGCGGACCATGCCGTCTGCCGACCCGGTGGCAAGGCGGTGCGATGATGTGCAGTAGTCCATGGTGCTCACTGCCCCGCCGTGTGCGGTCAGGATCTTCTCACAGTCGCCCGTCTCCACGGACCAGATCTTGGCCGTCCAATCGTGGCTGCCCGTGATGATGATGTCCTTGTTGACCAACACACAGCTGCCACGTGGCCATGCCGGTGCGGGAGAACGGGGGAGATCACACAAGGGCAAGAGCAGGCAAGCGAACGAAGGCAATGAGAGGTGAAAGCCAATGAAGGCAAAGCGGGTGCATGGAGCAGAGTCAGGGCAGATCACATGGTATGCCGGCTACAGGGCTGGTTGAGGGAGGGCGCACCTGACCCAGTTGCTGTGTGCCTCGAGGAAGTGCATCTCCCTGCCCGCCCTCATGTCCCACACCCGCGCCGTGCTGCCGCATGCACAGAGGACATGGTGGAAAGACGGGGCGAGAGGAGGCGAGAGGGGAGAAGGTGAGTGGAGCGACGACTGATGAATGCGTGGAAGGAGAAGATGAGAGGTGGGGGTAGAGCTGAAAGTGGGCAAGCGGGGTTGAGCACCAGGGAGGTGCAGCTCAGGAGCAAGGGGCGAGGCGAGGAGGGCGACAAGGCGAAGCGTGAGGAGAGGAGTGAGGAGAGGAGCGAGGAGAGGAGCGAGGAGAGGAGCGAGGAGAGGAGTGAGGAGAGGAGTGAGGAGAGGAGTGAGGAGAGGAGTGAAGAGAGGAGTGAGGAGAGGAGTGAGGAGAGGAGTGAGGAGAGGAGTAACAAGAGGAGGAAGGGGATGAGTCGGAACAAGGCATGGAGAGGTCTCTGCTAAGAACCACACAGCAGTAGCACATGCAGTATCCCCCAGCAGCACATGCAGTACCCCCCAGCAACAAGGACCCCCCATCCTCGTGCCAGCTGAGGCACAGCACTGCAGCGCCCCGTGCAGGCTGTGTTTGGAGTCGACTCAAGACAACCGTCATGCCCAACCTAGCCACACATACACATACATGTACACGACGGCATGCCCTGTGGCAATAAGCCCCCCTCGTCCTCGTGATAACTGGAGCAAAGCGCCACAGCATCATGTGCGGGTTGGCCATAACGAGCTTTGGTACGAGTCACAGCGCGTACCCGTCAGTGTGCCCTGTGGCAATGAGCCCTCCCGCGTCCTCGTGCCAGCTGAGGCACAGCACGGCAGCACCCTGTGCGGGCTGCGCCGCGGTGAGAGCGCGGCGGTGCGAGCGCATGTCCCACACCTCCACCAGCCCGTCCAGCCCTGCTGTCACTGCTGCACTGCGCGCGAAGCCGGAGAGGAATCGCACACAGGAGATCTGTGGGTGGACAGGCAGGAGGAAGCGGGGAGGGGGGAGAGTGGGATGGAAAAAAGGGGGGGGAGAGAGCGGGTGAGAGGCATGAGAAGCATGTCCCACACCTCCACGAGGCCGTCTAGGCCCGCTGTCACTGCTGCACACAGGGGTGACAGTGGGCCTCGACGGGAAGCGCACACAGGAGACCTGGGGAGGGGGGGAGGTGGAAAAGTGGGATGGGGAGCAGGGGGAAAAGCACACCACGCTTTCACTCACGGGGGCGGATTCCCAACACGGACACACACACACTGGGGCGGTGAGAATCTCTACTTTTGAGGTGCGCCAGAAATCAGAACAGGCGCTTACAGGGGCAGTGTGGGCGTCGAGGGTGGCGAGGGGTAGCGAGGTGCGCTTGTCGAAATGCAGCACCTTGCAGTCGTCTCCACCTGACAGGATGCTGCTCGCATTTGACGAGATGGCGCGCACCGTGCTGGGGGGATAAATGGAGGAAAGGGGAGAAGAGCGGAAGAGGGGAAGTGAGGAGTTGGAGCACGGGGTGAGACAGTGTGTGGTGGCAGGGAGAGCGGGAATGAGGCCGCAGGAATGAATGGGCGGGAGATCTGATGTGGCGGTGTGTGAGTGTGAGGCTGAAAGGGCAGGGTAGGCACCACCACTGAGTGCACTCTCTACTTGATCGCCCCAGTCCCCCGAATTCACTCCACACCCTCTCCCTTCATGCCCCCGCCCCCTCCCTCACGCACAGCCTCCCATGCACCCCACCCACTCCCCATGCTCTCTCCTCCCCATCAGCCCCCGGCACGCACCCCTCGTGACCTCGCATGGTGGCACGCATCTCTGCGCCCACACGGTTCGCACTCCACAGCTTCACCTGCCATCCCCACACACATGTGGACATGGGGGAGACAGTGGGATTGGGCAGGGCAGAGGAAATGGGAGAACGGCAGAGGAGAAGGGTAGATAGAGTGGAGGATAGAGTGGAGGATAGAGTGGAGGATGGTGAGACAGTGGACTGCAATGAGCGCAATCAGGGACTCACAGTGCGGTCAGCGGAGCCGGAGACGAAGTAGCCGGCGTCATCACAGCCGGAGAGCAGGTCGCCCAGGTCGCTCACGGACCCCACGTGCAGCGCTGTCACCGCTGCACTGTGCCCCCTCAGCACCCTCACGCCCGCCTCGCCCTCCTTCCTCGCCTGATGGTGCACCGGCTCTGAGGGGCAGGCGCACGGGGGTGGAGGGTAGGGAGGGAGGGAGGATGGGAGTAGTGGCAAGGATGGCGGAATGTGGGAGGGTGGGAGGCTTTGAGGGGATGGTGAGGGGATTGGGAGAGGCGTTGAGAGGGCTGATCTGGGTAGGTGTGATTGTGATGTGACGGTGCTGACAGCGATGGCGCTGACACGTGCTAACACCAATGGTGCTGACCACGCTGCTGTTGAATGAGGACAAGAACAGAGATGCCACAGCACAAGTTTTGCAGATAATGCAAGCAGCCTGCACTGCACGCACCTGCTTGAACGAGGCGGTCTGCCCGGCGGTCAAGCCCATCCGCCTTGCCCTTGCCTCTCGGGCTCGTTTTGAGACGTCTCAAAACAGCACTTTTATCACATGCCACGGCACGAGTGATGCAAGCAGCCTGCACGCACCTGCTCTCACGAGGCGGTCTGTCCGGCGGTCAAGCCCATCCGCCTTGCCCTTGCCTCTCGGGCTCGTCATCCCTCCTCCCCCGCCCTTGGGCGTCGTGGTCGCCGCACCCTTCCCCCCCACATCAAAGTTCACCCCCCGCCGCCCCGCCTTGCTCTTACTCCGTGACAGACCCTTATGCTGCACCGCACCCCCCCCTTCCCCCTCCAGAGTGTTATTACTGTCCACACGCGCCATACCGTCCGCCCCTGCCCCGCCCCCCCCAGCAATGGAGGCGCTTTTGAGGCGCGTGGCCTGCTCCATCTTGGGGGCGATGCGCGGCGCCAGCGCCATCATGAGCGCCAGGCGTGGCGGGCCATAGAAGCGGAACTTGAGCTGGATCAGGGACAGCTGGCCGCGCAGCAGGTTCTGGAGTGGGGTGGGGGTGGTGAGAGGGGAGAGGGCGGAATAGGGAGAGGGTAGGGGGAATGTGTGCGAGAGTATGCTGGTTGGTGGTGTGGCGGGCCGCAGATGGCACTTGAGCTGGATCAGGGACAGATGGCTTCGCAGGAGGTTCTGTGGTGAGGAGAAGGCGGGAGAAGGGGAGCGTAGGGGGGGTGTTTGGGCGAGTATGGTGCTGGTTGGTGGTGTGACGGGCTGATAGAAGCGGAACGAGGGGGGGAATGGAATTCAGGGGGAATGTGTGAGTGTTGTGCTGCGCACCCATCACTACGCATTGACAGCTGCTCCCTGCAATCAATAAAAGCTCCACCCATCCACCATTCACCCATCAAGCCATTCACTAATCCAGAACCCCCTCCCCAGCGCCACCATCTCCCCCATGCAGCACGGGGTACCGTCCCTTCGCCCTCTCCCCTCCCTCCAGCAGCAGGGCACCTGGCGCTTCTCCCGCAGGCCGTGCTCGCTGGCGAGGTGCAGCAGCATCTTCCACGTCTCCTTGTCCGCTATGCCCAACTCCACCTGCCATGAGGGGGGAGGGGAGAGAAACAGAAGGGGAGAGAACGGACGGATGGACAGACTGAGGGATGGAGGGGAGGGGAGGAGGGGCATATGGAGGCAGCATGCGATGTTGTGACAAGCTGAGCACAGGTAGCGACCCATGGGGGGCGAGATTCTGCAGAGTAGGTATGGCATGGACTTCGTGGTTGCGGAGAAGCAGAGCAAGAGAAGAACCACAGAGAGACTGGGGGGTGGAGGAATGGGTGGGGGAAAGTGGGATGGACAGAAATGAGAGGTGGGGCGGGAGGAGACGGGAGGTGGTGCGTGGGGGAAGGGAGGTGGGGCGGGGCGGGTACCATGTGGAAGGCGCAGGCTTTGAGTGTGAGCATGACCATCTGTGAATAGTTGCCAAAGGAACTGTTAGAGACCAGGGGGATGGGGGCAATGGGAGAGGGTAGAGGGGGAAGGAGAAAAGGGGAAGGGGGGAAGGGGGAAGATGAGCAGGTGAGTAGGTGAGGAGTCGAGGAGGCAAGAAGGGGTTGGAGCAAAGGTGGGAAAGCTGTGAGGGTGAGGGGTGGGGCATGTGTGTGGTGTGGTGGGGGAAAACGATGCAGTGGGCAGACCAGAGGATGATGCCATGGAGGGCAGCACGACAGACAGAGACGTTGCAAAGTTTGAACGAAATCGCAAGAAGAGCGTAGAAGAGGCAGTGCAGATGAGAGATAAGGGCGAGAGAGGGGAAATGGCTTACTCTTCTCCAAGCTCCTGCATGCGCTGCTCAAAGAGCTCGTCCCATAGGCTGCAGAGACAACATGAGGAGGAGCGAGGAGCACCAGGAGAGGGGGGGAGGGGAACACGGCAGGGCACGGTTGGAGAAATTGAAGGAGTGCCAGGCGCTTCTGCGTATGAGTGTTCTACAAGCAGCTTTGCAACTTTGCAGCTTTGCCCATGCGAGAAAGTCATGCCTGCCATTGACTCACGCCTGCGAGTGCCAGACGTGCAGGGAGCCGAGGTAGCGGCGCATGAAGTCGAGCATGCCGAACTCGTCCCGGAAGTAGATGCGCCCCGCTATCTCCAACAGCCCCCCCGCCACCTGGTAGTCCCTCCTCTCCCCCGCCCTCGCCGCTGCCACCAGCATCTGATGCGGGACAGGAAAGGGGCGAAGAGAGGGGAAAAGATGGCAACAGAGGAGCGAAGAGGGAGATTGGAGAAAATGGGGAAAAAAGAGACAGTGGGAGCTAGAAAACATGGAATGGGACTGATTCAGGTCAACCAATCATGCCCTTGACCCCAGCCATGTGGCACACCAACCCTCTCCCCAGCCTCTCACCATCATCACCATCCCCATGCTTGAGCCCCTCTGCACCCCTCGCCCCAGCTCCTCACCCACCCCCTCCCAGGCGCTCACCAGCTCACGACACGCCATGAACATCTCTCGAGTGAGCTCGCCCGACCACCCCTGCATGCACCCACACAGGCAGGCAGACAGGCAGACAGACACGCAGACAGGCATGCAGGCAGGCAGGCAGAGCGAGCGAGGGGAGGGGAGATTGGGTGGGGGGTGTGAGTAAGAGATTGGGACGGATGTGAACGGCACAGCGGGTTGCGATGGAGGCAGAAAGGTAGGCATTAAGGAAGGGAGATAGGCAGACAGTGGTTGGTGGGTGAAGAGCAGGAGGGGAGGCGAGGGGAGGGATGGGGTAGTGGCATACGATGGTGATGTTCTCCTCCAGGCACGCGAGGAAGCTGGAGCCCCCAAAGCCCTCGGGGTCCGACTCGATCATTCCTGCATGCAGCACCACACCGCACCGCATAGGACAGCATGGGTGACGCATTGAACGGTGAGGATTGAGAGGTCAGGATCCAGGGGAAGATGGGGGGAGCAAGGAGGGGGGGGGTAAGCGGAAAGCGAAGTTGTGGGGGAGGAGTTGAGGGTTGGGCTGGGGTGGGGTGCGGTGGGGTAGGGTTGATACCGTAGATAGTGCCGTAATGCTCTGAGCCCATGGGGTGCTCGCCGGGAGGAAGCCCTCGTAGTTGGTCCCATAGTTGCTGCACATGTGCATGCACGCACATCAACACATGCACATGCGTATGAACATGGATGCACATGAGCAAGCACAGAGGCAAACATGCACACATCCACATGAAACGTGCATGCACATACACAGGCACACAGGTGAACACTGAAATGCACGGACTAGACAACAAATGTGACTACATGAGGTGAGAGGAAGGTGGTTCACAAGAATAGGCAGGGGCGCGGTGAGAGGGGGGGGGAGCAGGGAGCACTCACACAGAGGCGCACTTGTGTGTCCACCTTCATCATCTCCCTTTGTGCCTGCTCACGTTGCACATAACACACGAGAAAGCGGGGCGATGAGAAAGGGAGGGACACGAGAAGAACACAAGTCTCAGGCGCTGTGGTAAGAACTAAGGGAAGCACGGACGAGAGGGGGAGGGGGGCGGAAGGGGAGAGTGGGGGTTGTATAGAAGCAGAGGCAGCTGCTCAAGCTTATCAACCTGAATTCTCACTCTTCCACCCCCCCACACTCCACTCTCCCTTTCCCCTTGCCTATCTCACTCCCTACCCATCCCCACTTCCCGCACCCAGCCCTATCTCCTTCAGCCATGGCCTAATCGCATCCCATCCTCACTCACACACACAACAAACAGACGCACACATCTGCACATGCACGCACTCAACCACACCCCGCCCACGCCCACCACACACCCCCACAAACCCCCCCGGCACACACACACACACACACACACACACACACACACACACACACACACACACAGACACTCCACGCACCCCTCGCTCCTTGGAGCTGCGCGTGCGCCCCAGACGCCGCTCCTTGAGCCACGCCCTCATGGCCTTCTCCACCGCCAGACTGCCCCCCGCGTGCACAGGAGAGGGGATTGTGGGGGAGGAGTGTGTGGGAGGGGAACAATGCACACACACAGGGGGGTGGAGGGGTGGTAAAGGTGGTAAAGGTGGCCCAAAACGTGCTGCTACTGTACTTTCATGCCTGGGCCAACACTCCACACCAATCCAGCGGACACAGAGGGCACGGCAGGGTAACAGCAGAGCAGCTTGATACCTCCCCTCCCCTTCCCGCGCACGCACACACACACTCACACACACATTGAGCACCCACACACATGCACACACACGTGCGCACGCACCTTCTGGCCTCCTGCTCGCCGCCGGCCTTCTCGTTGTTGGGGAAGCGCTGGTACACGTACCGCCCCACTGCTCCCCGCTTCGCCGCTGCGGTTGGGCAGGCGGGACGAGGGGCTCATGGGGAGGGGGACGTGAGGTGAGGGAAAGGGAAGGGTTGAGCTGCGGTTTCGAGAATGCATGAACTGGACACATTGAGTTGGGCGGGTCAGCTCATGGCACGGCACTTGCTGATTGCACCTTCGAGTGGCTTTAACTGCTGCCTCATATTTCAGCTCATTACCAGAGCTGAACCTTTCTGGTTGGGCTCATTGAGTCGCAGCAGCCAGCACCTGGCAGCACCTGGCAGCACCTGACAGCACCTGACAGCACCTAGCAGCATCTGGCAGGAAGTGGCAGCACCTAGCAGAGGTGGGAGCTTGCAGCACCTGGCACGGAGGCAGCACCTAGATGGCAGCGCGCGCCTGGCTGGCAGCGGTGGCAGCACCTGGCAGCGCCAACAGCACCTGGCAGCGCCAACAGCACCTGGCAGCGCCAACAGCACCTGGCAGCGCCAACAGCACCTGGCAGCGCCAACAGCACCTGGCAGCGCCAACAGCACCTGGCAGCGCCAACAGCACCTGGCAGCGCCAACAGCACCTGGCAGCGCCAACAGCACCTGGTAGCGCCAACAGCACCTGGTAGCGCCAACAGCACCTGGCAGCGCCAACAGCACCTGGTAGATGTCAACAGTGAGGAACTTGGAGGGAGGCAGGGGGGGGAGCGTGATGGCAGGGGGGGAGCACCTAGCAGCATGGGAGCACCTACCGATATGACAGGACACACCTGGCAGCGCCTGGTAGATGTCGACTGTGAGAAACTTGGTGGGAAGCAGGGGGGAAGCGTGGGCAGCGTGGGGAGCGTGATGGCGGGACCTACCTATATGACAGCACACACCTGGCAATGCTGGCAGCACCTGGCAGCACACACCTGGCAATGCTGGCAGCACCTGGCAGCACACACCTGGCAGCGCCTGGTAGATGTCGACGGTGAGGAAGTCGGTGGGAGGCAGCGGGGGGATTGTGATGTGGGGGTCCTTGTTGTGTGCGCGCTGCATGATGGCGTCAAACTGCGTCAGCTCCTCGGGCGACTGCGCCAGCTCGCACTCAAAGAAGTTGTGCCACCCCAGCGTCGACAGCATCGCCTCTATCTGCCTCGCATATACGCATCACCAGTGCCACAGGCGAAACCGCGGGAGGAAGAAAGACAACAGGGAAATGGGAGGAGCAAGGGGAGATTGGTTGTGAAGACGGGGAGGGGGGCGGGTGGTGAGTGCGCCAGCTCGCACTCAAAGAGGTTGTGCCACCCCAGCGTTGTCAGCATCGCCTCGATCTGCCTCACACGTAGCAACGAGAGGGAAGGAGAAGGGAGGGGGCGGGAGAGCGGGGTGTAGGGGCGGGACGCGGTGTGGGTAACAGGGAAGGGGCAAGCAGCGGAGGGGGGTTGGGGGGTGAGAGTAGGATGCTGGCGTTTCGGTTGTAAGACACGGCACAGACTGCGGGCTCACACTTGAGCACTTCTTGTTATCTGGATTCTCTGGAAACGATCCAACTGCTTGTCAAGTGTGACGAGTGTGGGTGTGCCCGGGGTGTGGTAGGGTGTGGTGGTGGAGGGCATGGCAGAGGGGACGTACGAAGGGCTCGGTGGCGTGATCGTAGAGCTCGGAGCGGCGCAGCAGGAAGCTGAGCTTGTCAAACACCAGCTTGCCCGCCTCAAAATGATCCTCCATCTGCCATACCGCACCGCACCGCACCGCACGCAGGGAGCAAGCAAGGGGGAAGAGGGAGGTTCGGTTGGAAAGGGGGGAGGACGATGAAGGGGTTGTGTGGGAGAGTGGAGCAGGTGCAAGGCAGAAGCGAAACCGATACTCTATATGGGGCAACACAGTGGGTGATGCAACACACATAAGCAGGCAGCAGGTGGAAGGAGGAAAGTGTGGTGTGGGAGTGTGAGAGTGTGAGGGTGTGTGACTGTGTGAGCGTGTGAGTGTGCGCGTGTGTAAGTGTGCGAGTACGAGTGTGTGAGCGTGTGAGAGAGCAGGAGCACGCACCACGAAGTCCTTGTAGCCATGCAGCACGGACGCCAGGAAGCGCAGAAACAGCTGCCTGCACATGGTGAGCAGCACATGATGTGGGCATGTCGGGAGCATGTAGGGGAGCATGTGACAAGCATGTCAGGGTCGTGAGAGCGGGAACATGTCAGGGTCGTGTCAGAAACTTGTTGAGCACGGTGGGATGGGTTCAATTCAAGCACATGCGAGAGCAACCATGCGCACCAAGACAGAGCGTCAGGAGGAGGGGTGCCATGCTGCTGGGTGGGTCACATTACAACAGCAAGCATATCACAACTGAATGTAAGGACACAGTGATAAATCCACCAGCACACTCCCACCCGAACTGCCAGTGCTACCGCCCTCACCGGAACTGCTCGTCGTGGTGGCGGCCCCACGTCTTGAACGTCTTCTCGTCAAACTGCTGCACGCCCGCAGCCAGCAGCGGCGAGCGGTGGTGCCTCACCGACTCCAGCACCGCCAGGTGCGGGTGGATCAGCGCGTGCAGTGCCGCCCTCAGCTCGGAGGCCTCGGGCTCGGGCAGCGGCGGGATGTCCTCCTCCTCCTGCTCGCTCTCCAGACTCATCATGCGCACGCGGTTGGAATCCAGATCCACCAGTACCACCTGCCACGGGGAGCGGGTAAGGGGGGGTTGAAGGAGGGGTGAGGTGGGATGGGGATTGAGGGAGGGTTTGGTTGAAGGGAGATGTGCATTCGCGTATTTTTCAACGCGTCTGTATTGTGGTCGGCACACATCTTGTGTCTGTCTGGGCACACCAGCACCCACTGGCACAGGGGATGTGGGCGTGGAGGGATGGGAGGGGGGGTTGGTTGCAATGAGATGCAGAGAGTGGAGCACACTAAACCTTTCAAGCGTGGGCTGACTCACAGTCACCAACAACTCGCCCTCTTTTGATTGCTCGCAACACTACCTTCTGACTGCTCGGCTACAGCCCTCCTTTTGACTGCTCACCACCCTCCCTTCTGGCAGCTATCAGCCCTAATGTGCGCCTGCCTGCTACCCAGCGCCATGAGTCTGCAACTCTCGAGTCGTCAATGACACTGGCTACTGACCCCATCGAGTTCGTCCTGCAGTTCGAACTCGGAGGTGTTGATGCCGTAGATGAAGATGCCCGGCGCGTGCAGCAGCTCCAGCAGTGGCAGCGGCAGCACTGGGATGTACGGCAGCTGCGGCACGGGGGGGAGGTGGGGAGGTGGAGGAGTGGTTGTGAGGGAGAAGGCGGCGAGAGAGAAGAGGAGGAGTGCACAGCAGACAGACACTTTGTCTTTTGCACTGCGTGTGCATAAAGTTGACAAGACTTTGTACGAGAATGCTTTCAAGTGTGAGGCTGGTGGTGAGAACAAGAGAACGCTGACAGTAAGAAAGGACGTGCGCAGCAGGCAGCCTAGCAGGCAGCCACCCACGACAAGCATCACTGCCACGCCCCACAAGGCGACTCAGCCACCACAGCCCGTGCTCACCCTCCCTTCCCTTCCGGCCTACTGTCACCACTGCTTACCATCCATTTGTAGGGGTAAAGCAGCCCTGACACCGCCTCCGCCACGTTTGTCAGTATCTTCAGCCTGCAGGGATATGAGGGCGGGCAGCACAGACGAGAGGAGAGGCGAGCAGGGGGAAGCGAGGAGCAGGCGCAGATAGAATGAGGAATGGAAAGTGGGAGAAAAATGTGCAAGAACAAGCCATAGATTCCATATTGAAATACTCACATGCCCCCAAGCAGCAGCACTCTTCTCTCCAGGAGCACGGCTGTGAAGAGCTGGATGATGTTGTCAATGTCGAGACAGCTTACAAGGGGGAGAAACGACACCTGAGGTGCAAGAGAGAGGAGTGGCAGGGAAAGAGGAGGCAGAGTCGAGGGAACGATTGCAATGGTGTGTGCGGTGAGATGCGGGCACAGGTCCATGTGATGTGACGACGCAAGGCGGTTCTGAGGGGGTGCAATGCAGGTGTGGGAGGAAGAGGGGCTACAGGTGCGGTGCCAGGCAGCAGCACGTACATGCTGGTGTGGTGCATAACGCACCAAGCGTCATGGTTGCTCTAGAGTGTGAGACGGGGCAATGGCAGCGGGAGGCAAGGCCGTGGCATTGTAGGATATTGTGGGGTGGGAAGAGGGGGCACTGACGTGCGAGGAGGGGAGGGCGTTGGGGTCAGGCAGGGTGGTGGAGAGCACGACGCTCTCAACGCTGAACACCACCGTCTGCTGCGGGCTTGATGGCAGCGGCACCGACATCACCCCCGCAATTATGTCCCATATCGGCCGCCTGCCATGCCATGCCATGCCAGGACATTCCAAACCATGCCAGCCTCAAGCCATGCCATGCAGTGACATGCCAGCAAGCCACACCAGAGCATTCGATAGGGTTGATGACTTTGTGCCATGTGATGGGCAGAGAACGCTGAGAAGGAGCAGCTTTGCACCCGAGTAGGAGGGGATTATTCAAGGCATGAGAATGGACCATCGGTGAGGGGCAAGAGAGAACACAAGCGTCGCAACAAAATAGGAGTGGAGGGAGAGGAGGGGGGGAAGGAAAGGGAGGGAGGGAGAGGAGGTGGGGCAGGAAGGGCAGCGAGGGGAGGGAGGGCAGGCAGGGCTGTGAGGGAGGGAAGAGTGGGTAGGTAGGTAGGGCACTGACGGGCTGCCGAGCGGTTGGAAGGCGAGGCGGTGGATCTCAGTGAGGAGGTCGGCGAAGGTGTCGAGGAAGGGGTAGTGCGACACCACGCACAGACACTTGTCCGCGTACGAGTTGGGCGGGATGGAGTACGCCTGCGCCACGTCATCGTCCACCAGGTCGCGGAACGCCAGCACTGACACGTACACCTTGGTGCCGTCGCCCTCTGGGGGGGGGGGGTGGGGCGGGGAGGGAGGAGAGGTAGTGTGGGGAGGAAAAGAGTAGGCAGAGCGTGAGATGGTGCACGGAGGAGCAAAGGGCTCTAAAGGCGCGGAGAACGGGATTCTGGACGAGACAGCTGAGGCGTGACGACTCTCCCTGGCGTACCGCGACGCTGCGTGCGGACAAGTGGATTTGATATTCTGGCACTCGCGCATGGGCGCGGGAACTGCGACAGCCCAGGTTATGGATGTGAGGGCGAAAGGGTGCGGGAGGGTGCGAGGGGCGTACCGGTGAGGATGATGGGGTAGGATCGCGGGAACGACAGCGGCTCGTCCTGGTTGGCGCCATGGCTGTAGAAGCGCAGCCCGCCGGGGAGCACGGCCTGGGGGGAACGGCGCAAGGGGATGGCGCAGGGGAGCGGAGCAGGGGACGGCACAGGGGGACGCGCACAGGGGGACGGCACAGGGGGACGCGCGGGGACGCAGGGAACCACGTGGTTGGACGCGGGGGCAAGAATGTCGGGAGCAAGAGGAGCTGTAGAGTAGAGGAGGGTCGATGCGAAAAGCGAAGCGCGCGAACAATGTACGCACAGCTGACGCGGAATGCGGAATCTGCGTGACAGAAGCAGGCGTGCGGCTGACAACCTAGGCGGAACGCTACTCTAATGCATTAACTCCGCCTAAAAGCATAATGTGATTTCTTAGAGCTTGAAAAAAAAGGAAGCTCTCATTGAGAGGATGTCGCACCAACGGTAACATTTCCGGGATCTTGAATTTCTTGTGCTCCTCAGCCGGCAGGCGGTCGATGAGCACAGGCATGTACGAAATGCGCACACCATGGCTCTTCATGCCGTGGAATCCGCGAGTGCCGTCCATTAACCGCAGGTCCAGACCTAAGCCGCACACCACGAAATAGTCCAGGAATCGCGTCTTCCATAGCGGCCCGTCGGTCGCTACAGCTGGCGCTGCCGCGGTTCCAGCTGCAGCAGCCATGTGCGCTGCTTAGTGTGTGCGATGGGAAGTGACTGACTAGGCAGAAATGAGCGGGAAATCAAGTCGGGAGAATGACTGAATGCATCACCAATGCGGATGTTACGAAGCTAAGGACGGAGGTTTCGCCATGTTGACGGAGATATGGCGCACTCGGAGTTACGGAGCTACCTCCTACGGCAGGGACGACGCCGCGCGAAACCAAAACGTGCAGAAAATCGCTCTCAAAATAAGGACTTTCGAGCTCGCGTTGGTCTCCTCGCGGAGTGCTCCTACGAAGTATGGCTGCCGGCGTCTATTAGGTTTAGAGGAATCCAGGGAACATTAGATGACTCTTGGACATTCCCGAGGCTTGGCCTGCCAGAGACGTAGATGGAGCAGTATGGTTGGGTCATCAGTGAGCGTATATCGGAAATTGTTCAATCTTGGTGTGGTGCAGAGGCTGGTGAGGGGTGCTGCTGCTCATTCAATAAAAGGAGAGTTGTAAGGAATTTTCTTGATATTCCTTAGCGCACCCTGCAACATCGCGTACAGCAGCAGCCGTTGTTCGCCCGTTACTACTAACAGGGCTTCGCCGACTTAGCGCGCACTGTTTTCCCAAACCTCGCACTGCTGGACCGGCCGTGTCGGCATACGCTTTGGGACTAGCCCGAGCCTCGCTCCAGCGTAGCACTAGCTAGCTCGCACGCACCGCGTTACCGTTTGCATGTTTCGCGTATAAATGTTCGCTCATGCCTTCGCTCACATTTTGTACTCGTTTGACACTTTAGTGCAATTCTCGCTACTTCGATTCATTGCACCCGTAACAAAAGTACAATACATGTTATTTACATATTGCTATTAACGAGTATGGAGAAATGGAGGGGTGAAGAGAAGTGGGAGTAAATCAAATTATTGTGAAAGAGAGGAGTGGAACTTGAGTGGAGAGATAAAGGAGAGGAGGAGAGAGCGTATAAAACGAAGACTGTAGGAAAAATAATGAGATATGAAAAAACGAAATAAGGGATACTACCGTAAGACCCCGGATATAAGCGCACATTCGCTTGTAATAAAATGTGATTTTCGAGGGGGGTGCTGTTACGAATAGTAATGTATGAACATTACAGTGCAGCCCTCACCGCAACTAAGGAAGCATGAAGTAACGAGAACGAATGCGAGGAGTCAGAATTGACTCGAAGCGTCAGACGGTTATGTGAAAGTTTAGAAGAGAGAAGAGGGTTGAACTAGCAAGAATGGGGATACAAATAGCAAACCCTAGAAGGGTTGTACTCGCTATGGAGCACCCCACTACAGGCTAGAGCATAATATTCTGACACACCCCCATAGCCAAAGTGGGGTGTAATCAGCAGAGCAAGCAAAGCAGTACAAGCTCAGAGTGGATCACAATGTCACTACACATTCTGAGCACAAGTTCAAGAAGCAATAGTTTAAAGTTAACAATTATGAGCAAAGTGTTGGAAACAATAAGTCTTAGTGCGCTTCTGTCGTGTCAAAACCCAAGATACTAGCGAAGCAGCCCGAATCGAAGCATCGAGTCAAACCTCGGAGGTTAGGGTAACCGCCTGGAGGTTAGGGTAACCGCCTGGAGGTTACGAGAAAGTCAAAGGTCAGCGACCTTTGACTCGACAATTACAGCGCGATAGTTAAGGACACACAACTGACTCGTTGCAGAGCAGTTGCCCGAGTCGCACTGTATCGAATCGCAACAGCAATACAGTTATCTATCTATTCGTATTCCCTGTACCCTTATATAAGACCTTGTATTTGCTTGTTTAATTTAATCTACTTTGCTCTCACACACTAGTGCAAGGTCGGTTCACAAGTTTCATTAAACGCTTCCGCTATTACAAGTTTCCTACCCAGAATTATCCTCTGCAAAGATCCTTAAGGGCCTTCTCAGCCCAACATGGTATGAGAGCTGACAGGGGAAACTCTAAATTTTTTATATTACAAGACATGGCAACAAACAAGGAAAGGAGCTCCCCTAATGGCTCCTCGGGCACTACTCCTACTCCTACTCCACCACCAACCTCTGGCCTGAGAAAGTACGAACGAGAAGTGGAATGACTATGAACGAAGTGAGTACAAATAGGAAACCCTAATTGGGTTGTACCCCCTATGGGATACCCCACTATAGCCTACAGAAACAAGTAAGCTATAAGTTCTGACACACCCCCATAGGCAAAGTGGGGGAGAACAAGGGGTCACAAGACCGGTCAAGCAAAGCAAAGCAAAGCTCAGGGTGGATCACAAAGTCACCACGCATTCCGAGCACAAGTTCAAAGGCCACAAGGCCAGTTCACATGCAAGATCATATATAGAGATATACAAGAGCAAGAGTATATATATGCGAAAGTACAAGCAAGGTCAAGAGGAGAGCAAGTGAGGCAATACAGGCACAAGACCCAACTGCGTGCAGCAACGCTGATGATCACAAGGCGCAAGTGCCTTGGTGAAGACATCAGCAGTGTTGGCCTCAGAGGCCACGTACGCAAGTCGCAGCTGTCCACGCTGCTGTAGCTCACGAGCAAGAAAGTAGCGAAGAGCAATGTGCTTCGTTCTGTGCTCCAGTCGCTGCTCTCGACACAAGGCCAGCATGGCCTTGTTGTCTACGTACAGGACTGGAGGAGAACGAGGCTGCTCTCCAAGGTCGGTCAGCAGGTAGGTGAGCCAGCGTAACTCCTGTGCAGCCATGGCCCCAGCGTAGATCTCAGCCTCACAACTGGAGCCGAGAACAGAAGACGAGCGGGTAGCCCGCCACGAGACAGAGCCGGAACCAAGGCTGAAGGTGTAACCCTGTGACGACCGCTGCGTAGCCTGGTCGTCAGCCCAAGAAGCGTCTGCGTGCCCAGTGAGGACCACTGGACTGCGCCCTCCAAGCACTAGCCCCATGCCCGACGTACTGCACAAGTAGCGCAACACCCTCTTCGCTGCAGCCATGTGCTCTGGTCGGTGTCTCCCATGAGCAACAAAGCGTGCGAGAATGCTAAGAGGGTATGCGAGGTCAGGTCGTGTGCAGGTCATCAGGTACATGAGGCAGCCAACAAGCTCTGCAAACGGGCCACTCGACTCTACGGACTCATCCGAAGGCAGAGCTGAGAGCGAGTGGCGAGTAGGCAGAGGAGTGGCCTGAGGCGAGGAGTACGTGAAGCCGAAGCGCTGAAGGACCTGCTGCACCATGTGTGACTGAGTCAGGGTAATGGTGCGGCGTGCTCTGTCCCGGGTGATCTGCAAGCCAAGGTAGCTGCGCAGTTCACCCAGGTCAGTGCACGTGTGTCTCTTCTGCAGCTCGGACTTCACGTAGGCGAGTCCAGCAGTGTCAGCTGTGGCAAAGACCAAGTCGTCGACGTACACGAGGATGTAGAACGGCGGCAGAGAGGTGTCGGTGCGCAGAAACAGCGACGGGTCGGCAGTGGAAGGAGCAAACCCAAGTGCCGCAAGCGTAGTCCTCAGTGTGTCGTGCCACTCACGTGGCGCCTGGCGGAGACCGTAGACTGGACGCCGGAGACTCCACTGGGTACCAGGAGGGAAAGACCCAGTGAAGCCAGGTGGGCGACGCAGCCAGATCTCCTCGTGCAGGCTGCCCTGCAAGAAAGCTGTGCTGAAGTCGAGAGAGTGCAGCTCGTAGTCACGGTGAGCAGCAACGTGTAGCAGAACCCGAAGAGTGGTCATCTTCGGGGTGGGGGAGAAGGTCTGAAAGTAGTCAACCCCCTGCCGCTGACTGAAGCCACGAGCCACGTAACGCGCCTTGAAGACAGGCGGAGAACCCGGCGGCCGCTTCACCCTGAAAATCCACATGCCACTGACGATGTTTGCCCCAGGAGGGGGAACAGCGTCAACGTAGGTGCCTGTGGACTTCCAGGAAGCCATCTCTGCATCCATAGCTGCCTGCCACTGAGAGGAGTAGGGACCCTCTATCGCCTCCGCGTAAGAGCGCGGAGTCGGGATGTCTGGTGCATCCGGGTCTCCCTCAGGGGCTAGCAGTACAGACGCGAGACGAGGTGAAGCGGCGGCCAGACACTGGAACTCCTCCTGCCTGTCCTCAAGGACGTCCGTGCCAAGGGCACACTCACCCCCGACGGACGGAGGACAGGCGGACTCAGACTCAGTGACAAGACGAGCAGCGTAGTCTAGACGACAGCGCGCAGCAAAGTCGACAAGCTCAGTGACAAGGGCAGACGCAGCAGACGACTCGAAGGAGGGGTCAGTGACAGTAGTAGCCAGGAGACGCGTGACAGTAGGACTGGCAGCACGAAGAGCGTCCGACTCCGGGTCGGCAAGAGCAGGAAGAGAGGAAGCAGGAGGAGAAGGCAAAGGGGCACGCAGAGGAGCAGTGGACGGACGCAGTGACATCCGGTGCGTGCCAGGGACAGGAGGAGGACGCTGACGCGACCCGCGACCACTAGCGCGCTCAGTACGAACAGGCGACACAGGACGAGACGCAGGCTCACGACGCTCAGTAAGACCTCCAGTCGGACCAGCGTAGGGAGAAGGAGCAGGCAAAGGGGAGGCAGGCTGTAGCTGTGGCTGTGACCGGACAGGCTGCGGACCCTCTAAGGGAGGAGGAGGAGGTGTAAGACCAAGAACCTGCTCCAGGAGCGGAACGAAGTACGGTCGGGGCCGCGCGGCGACGCTAGAAACAGCAGGAACAGCACCAGCAGCCCCGGCAGGAGCACCCACTCCAGCAGCACCTCCAGCAGCACCAGAACCTCCAGCCGCAGCACCAGGAGCACTGTCAGTCGGGCCGCCAACGGCAGGCTCAGCGCCAACACCCTCAGCAGGACCAGCTCCAGGAGAACTCTCAGACTCAGCAGCTCCAGCACCCACAGTACGAGCGCCGGCGGGGCGCGCAGCAGCAGTGCCCTCTGCAGCCGAAGAACCACCAGCACCAGCAGCACGCCTCCAGCGCCCGGCAAACCACTCACGCAGCTCCTGTGGGGAGAGTGGCTCCCGGCGAGACGAAGCACCCCCAGGCACAGCACCTCCAGGCACGGCACTCCCAG